TTGTACCGCTAATTTATTTACTAGTATATGTTATAGTTTGTGCATCAATTTAGTTGGCTTTGAAAAATGAAAAAAAAAAACTAGTATTTACCTTTTTATGGTCACATAAATTGTTGTTCAAAAGAAGGATCGGAGCATAAAATATTACTCTCTGTGTTTATTTGACCAAACACACAAGTCAAGAAATGACTTTTTTTTTAACACGAGTCAAAAAATGACTTTAACCATTATTTAATCTAATTATATGTTATTAAATTATAGGAATTTGATATTATGAAAGTATACATGATGACAAATCCAACAATGTATTATACAATAACATTTTTTTTTAAAATTTGTAAAATAATCAAGTCAAAACCATTATGGATCAAAAGGACCGAAGCCATTTTGGATTAGATATGAGGTCAAAATTGAAAAAAAAATATTGCAAATGCCTTGTTTTGCTTACTAAAATAACCTAGTTTGCGTGACACACGCAAAACGATACATTTTTTATTTTTTTTTGCCAATTCTGATCTCAAATTGGAACCAAAGGGTCAAAATGACCACCAAATCTCTAGAGATAATGTTTTTGGCACAAAAATTGAAAAATTTATTTAACCGTTAGATTTAATGGTTAGGTACGGCAGAACTGAGGTCGTGAAAATTTTCAAATAGATATATCTAGAAACATTTTCAACTAGATATATATTTAGGGGTCGTTTGGTTGGGGGTATTCATCAAAGGGAATGGGAATAACAGGAATAATCATTCCCTTTGTTGTTGTTTGTTAGGTCTTTTTTCCTATTCCCTTTACCCTCTCCGATCCATTCCCCAAAATCATTCCAAGCTGATTCTCCACCCCCCCAAGGTATTTCCATTCCATTCCCTAGCTACCACCACACCACCATACCACCACCCTCCCCACCACCGAAACAGCTAGCCACCCCACCGAAACCCCTCCTCTCACCCTCGCTGTCCCTCCCCCACCCACGAAACAACCAGGCACCCCAGCGAAAACCTCCCCACAACCAAAACAACTAGCCAACACACCACCACACTCCCCACCACCGAAACAGCTAGCCACCCCACCGAAACCCCTCGCCTCACCCTCTCCCACCACCGAAACAGGTTTGGGTGGAGATTTGAAATAGGGAGTGTATTTTAGGGTTGATGAGGGTCTACGAAACACTACAAGAAAAAAGCTTGATTCCGACGGAAAAAATCCGTCAGAAACATCGGAAATTCTGTCGGAAAATGGTCTTTCGACGAAATTCTGTCGGAATCAGTCTGTCGCGAAACCATTTGTAGGAATTCGACTTTTTCCGGCGGAATTTCCGTTGGAAGACTAGTTTCCGACGGATATAATTCTGTTGGCGCTGTTTTTGACTTTAATTAAAATTCCGTCGGAGGAGGTATATTGCGACGAAAAAATCCGTCGGAAGTGGTATATTCCGACGGAAGATTCCGTCGGAAAAATCAATAAAAAAAAAAATAAAAAAAACCAGCCCCACCCCACCCACCCTGTCCAAACCTCCACCACCCCACCCACCTTATCCAAACCTCCCACACCCCACCCACCCCTGACCACACCCCCACCCTACCCCACCCTGTCGAGCCACCACCACCCCACCTAACCAACCCCCTAACCCACCCACCCAGAAAAACGAAAAAAAGTACCCACAAAACAAAAATACCAAATCGAAAAGAAAAAAAAACGTAAAATCCAAAACAAAATAAAATCTGAAATAAAAATTCCCACAAAAACAAGATCTAAACCATGCATATTTGATCTGAATTTCAAACAAAAAAAAAAATCTCACAAAATCCTCTAGACTCGATTAATTAGCAGCATTAATAACTAGGAAGTAGCTAACTTAAGCCACAAATCTCACAAGCTCGGATTCATGCAACTTAAAGAGCTGATAATCATAGGCATCGGACAAGTTTCAGTCATCTATTAAACACCTAAGTGCTACTAAGGAGTATTAACCCAGACAATTACGTATCATAGATTAATATTCTAGCATTTAAACTAGCAAATTATACTAAAGATGGCCGGTCTAAAATATAATCTGGTAATTCATACTAATAAAACATATTATCAAACCAATCAAGAAATAAACATAATACCCAAGAATTATAACATCTCTATTCTCACAACAAAATAATCCAATGCATATATATATCCCTACCCTAAGAAGAATTAGCCTAACATATTAAGAGTTGAAATTACAATAACAAGTACAAAAAGAAACTTCATAATATGATAGAAATAATTAAACATCGAAATTGATAATGCTAGCAGTAGCTAAACGAAGCACAAAGTACCAACATTCAACAAATGCCATAAACTACCAATGATTAGCTTAATAATAAAATTCAATCCTATATCTTTATAAAAAATCAAACTCTGACTATTATTACCAAAATGAAATCCAATACAAAGAGTAAAAGGAGATATTAAACTGATGTAGTATCAAAACCAATTTGATGATTACCGAAGACTATGACACGAGTTGCAGTGCTCCAAGGAATTTCTTTAATTTTTATTCCTGAAACCTAGCCCAGAAAAATCCCGTAGCAAATGACAAATTCCAGAACACAGCTAAGTCCTCTCGACTGATGCTATTTCTCTTCACCGCTACTACTCTGCTCTGAGTTTGTTTCTGATTTTTTTCCTCAATTCGCTTCCCAGAAGATCGCCTCCTCTCGCATGCAATTCGGCTTCACTCCCAAAAACTAAGGCTGGAAATATATCTCCCTCCCAAAAATATATACGGGATGGAAGTATAATTTCCCCAAATTGGCCTCAAAATATTTGACCCGAATCTCACGTCTCCACCTTCTATAATTCCAACAACTTCTCAATTTCATATTTATCATCTTCTTATTTGAAGAGTTTATCATCCCGCGAATCTCGCTCTGAAGAGATTTGAGGGTTCTTGATTTTCGGTTGCCAGTAAAGGAGGTATGGTTGGATGCATATGTGTGAAGGCTGCTGCTATTTTCAAGGGTTTTCTTTTGTAAATACAATCCCATAAAACCAAATGACCACTTTATAAAAATAAGATTAATACGTGTGACTTAGCCCGGAAATATAAAGTAATCCATTTGGTGCCGAAATTCTCCTTCCTGTAGACAATTAAATAAATAGTAGTAACTCATGTCTTGAAAGGAAAATTGCATAATATACACTTAAATTATAAAAAATCAATATAACATCAAGAGTTTAATATATATAGATATTATATTTTACGACCCTATCAAACTCCCCCAAGCTTAATATTTTGCTTGTCCTCAAGCAAAGACATGAAATCGCAAAGCGGTTAAATTATTGATTTAACAATATGCAACCTGACACGTTAGAATTGCTCTACTTTTGCTCAATGACAGCTTTAAGTCAAGTATATATGCAAGAGGAAAATCATTTTTATCATTACAAAATCAATTACCAACTCTTAAAACAATCACCGCCTACCTTCCGTCAACAATGTAATGAGGTAAATCAAAGATCCTTAGGACATGAATCAAGGATAAAACAGGGCCTAGGTAAAGTGAGGTTTTAGAGAGCGTTTCGGAATGTGGTAAGAATGATTAAGATTAGCAGAGCAAAATATACAAAACCACAACCGCCATATAAGAACTCATATCACAGGCCCTTCAAACTTCATGCTTTTTATTTATTTATTTATTTATTTTATGTTTCACGACTCTTAATGTCAAGTACCTGTCAAGTAACCCATGTAGCGAGCTTTCAACCAGTGACTCCCGGTCCATTTGGCTCAAGGCACTAGGTTTTAAGATACCCCTACGGATTTACTAACTCGAGTTACTCAATCACGATACATAAAACATCACACGTACTTATATGGTTTTTTTTTTTTTTTTTATATATATATATATACAAGTCTATCGGCCAAAGTTAAGCATTGTAGAGTGAATGTACTGTTCATATGCAAAGCACTGTCCAAATTTCATTATTAGACTCAATATAATACCATACCACACCAGAGACATACCAAGAGACCGCAAGAAACCGAATATAATGCATTCCCCCCAAGCTTAATTCACACATTGCCCTCAAATCTGTTATAAGTTTATAAACTACAAAGAACAAAATTCACTATTGTCATTACAAGTATCTAATAAATTTATAAACTACAATTACAATTACAAAAATAATTAACTATAATCATAAATGTTCAAAAACAAATAAGATCTACAATTTAACCTTAACTAAAACTAGATCTACAAAAAAAACCTTGGTGTTGTTGCGACGGTGGCCGTTGTTTCGCGGTGGTGGTGTTGTGGAAACCTTGAGATGCTTGCGCGGTGGTGTTGTTGCGGCGGTGGTTGTTGGTTGTCGGTGCTGCTGGTGTCGTTGGTGGTTGGTGTTAGTGTGGTGGTTGAAGAGGACAAAGAAGGAGAAGAGGAAAGGGGACGAAGGAAGGAGAAGAGGAAAGGGGACGAAGGAAGGAGAAGAGGAAAGGGGACGAAGGGAGGAGAAGAGGAAAGGACGAAGAAGGAGAAGGAAGGAGAAGAGGAAAGAGGACGAAGAAGGAGAAGGAAGGAGAAGAGGAACGAGGAGGTCAGAGAGGAAGAGAAGAGGAAAGAGCAGAGGAGAGAGAAAGAGAAAAGAGGCGGAGGAGAGGAGAGGAGAGAGAAAAGAACCGAGAAACAGGAGGAAGAGAAGGAGAGAGAAAGAGAAATGAGAAGGAGAGCTAAGGGTTTGGTTTTTTTATATTCTTAAATTCCGACGGAATATTCCTTCGGAATCTTTCGACGGATTTTAATTCCGTCGGAATATAAGGTTTTCCGACGGAATATTCCTACGGATTTAATTCCGTCGGAAACTTCCTACGGATTTTAATTCCTTAGGAAATTAAAATTTATTCCGTCGGAAAACCTTATATTCCGAAGGATTTTTATTCCGTCGGAATTTTCCGACGGAATATCCAACGAAATGAAAATCCGTCGGAATTTCTGTGTTTTTCCGACGGAATTATGTGTCCGTCGAAAACAGTCCGTCGAAAATCAGCCTATTTCTTGAAGTGGAAGACGATGGTGGTGGTGGGAGAGGAGGAAGATTAAGAAGTGGTGGGGTTTGCACGGGGTTTCGAGGGTGGTGAGAGAGCCGACCGATAGTTTTACGGGGAGAGGGAATTGTTTCTAGGGTTTTGCGGGGTTTACACGGGGAGCGGCGGCGAGGGACGGGGGAAGTGCGGCAAAGGGTGGCGAGTGGTGGGGTAGCTGGAAATGGTGGGAAGTGAAGCAATTAGGTAGTTATGTGGTGGTGGTTGGATAGGTGGCAGTGTTTCCCTTTGTTTTTAAAACAAACAATATAGAAAATTTAAGGTGATTTCATTCCTTTCTTTTCCATTCCCTTTGTTTATTCCATTCCGTTTACCCTGTGTAAATCAAACGGCCCCTTAGTATTTGGCATTAGGTGGAAGCGATTCACCAATATGACAAATATGGATATGAGGAATCATCCTCCACAATAGAATAATTTGGGTGCTCTAATTATGCTAGAAAATCCTAATAGTCCATCGTTCTTCATAGTTTAATTGAGGATACATAATGTCTGTCTATTACACTAGAGTCTCAACAAGATCTACTTTTAAATTAATTGAAAACCTAATTAAAAAACCTATGATCGTCCCATCACCCCTAATAATAAGTAGTGATCAAGCGAAGAATTTATACGTATGGCATTGAACAATTATGTCCCTTATAGCTCCTATAGGAGCTAAAATAGTCAACATTACGCCAAATATGATGAAAGTCTGCAATATAAAAAAATCATAATTTCGTTAGTGAATTTAAAATTGTTAAAAAAATAAAAAATACAGTATGTTAAATAAATTGTAAAGTTAAATACTTACCCAATTGAGAAACCAGGATAAACTGTATCTTTTTGGTTTGCATATTATTAGCCATATTATACAAGGAATCTGCAAATTAAATAAAATTTTATTAACACTAGACACCTTTATTCTTTTATTATTAATATAAAATGAAAATGCGGAGTAAATATTTGGTACTCACATAAAATGAGGTTGGTGCAAAAGCAACTCCTCCCAAAACTCCTAAAAGGGAGCCAAAGAATGGAAATGCTATAGCGATGAACATGGTAATTCCTGCATGTATAGAGCATTAGACCTATTAGATATATTATAATAATTAAACGTAAACAAAAATTATATAAAATAACTCATTATTTTATAAAATAAACTTACCGACATATGTAGTACGAGTCATAAGGCGAAGCGCACTACTAGGTTTGCATTTCATTTTCAACACCAAAAATGATTCGAGCATGTCAAAAACTGGCATTGCGAAAACCTAGTATAATATAGTGGAAAATTTAATACTTCTTATAATCCATATAAAACTTGCGATCTATATGAATAATTGCAAAAAAATAAAACTTACTTGATAGCTCCCAATGACATGTATGACAACAAATATATTGGCAGCGGCAATAAGCCAACCAGGCTTCTCAAGGGAGATCATAACATTATCATTAACATGCCTTCCAAACACTAGATAACCAAAAATAGCCACTGGAAAATCACATAATGCCACAACTATATAAGCGATAAGAGACCCTTTCCACATGTCTATTTTAGATGGTTTTTCTGTAGTGGAAGGCATTGTTGCTTGAATCTCTAGCACTATATTATGCCCAGAAAAGGCAAATGCAACAGTCCCCAATCCACTTAAAAAACCAAATATTTGTCCCGCATCAGTGTTATACCTATTCCCATAACTTATGTCTGGTTGTACTCCTTTTATCAATGAAGCTATCCAAGCGATTGCAGAATATCTGAATTTACAAAACGAAACAAAAAAAATTAGTTACATAGGTAGAATTTTTAATAGATTTCAATGAATTTCAAATTACTATCCAATTTATTCTAATTAATTCAAAAACTATTTAATAGAAGAAAAATATGTTCATGTATCATTCTATCATTAATCAGTCTATTGCAAACATTGCAAATGAAATCTCTCTAATTCTTATATACTATTTGGACAGTTTAACAGCATCGCAAATCTAAAAAGTGTTGTGTTGATTTCAAACATAATTCCACAAAAAGTTAATTTTAATATGGACTTGGTGTATTTAAAGTCACAACTCCCCTAATTTCAAACATAATTCCAAAAAAATTAATTTGAACTTATAAAGTAATCTCTGTATCATACAAACTCACACCAACAAAATATATATATAATAAGTAATAAAGAAATCGTAACGATATTAAAGGATGTAAAAACATACGTCAAAGACATAACAGCCGCAGCGAGAGAGACACCGGCAATGGAGTTGAAGTCTGGTAAATTAGACAAGAAAAATTGAACGGACGCATACATCATGATAAAGTAAGGAAGCTTGACCGGTGGTCCACTCGGATAAACAATATTATAGAATTTCATGAGTGAACTCCCTCCCGTGAGCATAAAGACTATATCACATCCAACTTGAACCATAAGCTGTTGTGGAACAATAAGATATAATCCGAGTTTCTCTCCAAATGCATATTGCCCCAATTCGTGATACCTATCAAACCTCTTTCCCGGCACAATCTCATGCATTTCAATCATTTGCCATAGTGTGTATAGCGTTATAGCCCATGACAGAAATAATAACGTCACACCTGGACCCCTGAAATACATTAATCCAATGTTATATGTGTCATTTCAATATATAAGTATAAAATTTTATACATTTATACCAAAGTATATAAAATTATACTATCATCCCATTATTAATCATGTCATATATTAGTCAATTTATTTATTTATCAATTTATTAGCATGCAACATCAAACCATACACTATTTTCCCTCGCATTTACATATTTACATGTTTATGACGTGCATCAAGCTACTGTAATTTGAATCAAAAGGGGAAAATGAATTTTTATTATATTTTAACTTGAATACATATTCAATTTGCATAGAATACTCATAATGAACATAGTGAAACTAAATCTACTTGATAAATGTACTTGATTAATGATAATGCAACCAAATATACACACGTATACATACTTTTAAACTTACAGATCGGCCCCGGGAAAAACCAGATGATCCACAATTTCAGATCAAATCGCCTGGCGAGTTGTAGGATGAACTAACAATTTAGAACAAAATAAATGCATAGTAACAAATCTGGGGAAACTGATTTTGGCACACATAATATTGATATTGATACACCTTCATGTGAGAGGGGTATAAAAAACTGTGCTCTCACAATGGTTTTACCTAAATCATTTTTTGGTGTGCTAAAATCATTTCCCCAAAACTGGTCTTCAACTCTTGATCATACACATACATACTCTCAACTTGTGGTTCGTTGATTAACTAAATTAATTAATCAGAAAAACACTGCCTATTTTACCTATTTAGGTCTTACGAGTAACACCTAATTCGACCAAAAAAAGTAATTATTATAAGGACAAAAAGTATTTCTCTATTAGTTTATCATATTCATGCCATTAATCTACAATTGTTCACCTAAATTCAATATCATTCGTGTATCATTTCATTAACGAAGTATATGTGAATTAAACTGTATGTAACAACCTGTTAAAATTCTTTTTTTTTTTCAGAGATCTAGTTTTGCAAAGAAATAATATAATAATTGTACATAAAACATACCATCCGAGTTGAGACAAACCATAGGGTAAACCGAGAATACCAGCACCAACCATACCAGTAACATTATGAATGGCAGCGAACCACCAATTCCCTTTACGGTTCGCCGTAATTGGAAGCCAATTGCTAATGTCATCACTCTTAGTGCTTTCCATTTTTACTATTTCTTGTCTGCTTTCTAGGTTTTTTAATTCTCTCTACTATTCTACTAATATGATTTTTTGATTTAGTGTTTTATGAGTTGAATGATTTTTAGGTGATGGGAGTGTGAACTTATAAGAATGCAGCTAAAACAGTATATAAATACAAGGGATATCTCAATGATTTTAGGAATTTATTAAGTGAATTGGTTGACTTGGCACATAATCATACTATTTTATTGGGATTTTAATAAGCCATTGGTACAGAAGAATAGGATATTTGGTTGACTAGGCCTCAGAAAAGTACTATTTTGAAAATAAAAATAAAAAATTGGTTACTTAATTTCTTTTTTAATTTTTTTTAAGAAGAAGGTTAGTTATTTTTCTTGAAAGTGGAGTACTCATTTTTTTTTTCTTCTAATAATTATATTTTGATGGGCGTGCGTTTATGGCGTTAGTTGTTGATTTAAAAACCAAACTATGTATTCTTATCTAAAAACTCTGAAAAACTTTTGTTTATATCCGATTTACCAAATTATTGTATATTGAAATGTAACTTTTAGCCATTTTGGGTAACTTTTATTTTTTTACTTTAAATCAAATATGATGATAATAAGTTTTTTTTTTTTTTTTTTTTATGTATATAGACAGTGGGATAAGCTTTATAATATAAGGAAAATATAGTTACTAATATTTACCGAATTTTGATCTTTACTTCTTGAAAGATGGTAATTTTACCATATTTATTGCACACTTGATTATTTTACAAGTTTGTGAAACTCTGATTATATCTATAGTTTTGTCAATCTAAAAAAATAATAATAAGAAAGAAATTGGTCTTACTCCAACTATAAGCATTAGATACACACTAGAAAATTGTATAAATTTAGAAAATTATAAAAATATAAACATTAATTACACTGATTTACGCGTATTTTTGTCATTAATTTTTAATTTTATACAATTTTCAAGAGTGTATTTATGGCTACATATAGCATTACCCATAATTCTTAACTCATTTTCCATATGATTACAAACTCTTAAACAGACCTGGTTCACATTAATTTATTGTGGACCACTAATAGTACTGATATACTATGGTCATTTTATTAATTAAAAAAAAAATCACTATGTTAAAATAAAGGTTATTATGTTAAAATAAAAGTGATTGTGTTTTTATGAAGGTCATAAGAGATTATTTTTTTTTAATGAAAATTTTAAATACTGGTCAATGTGGATAATAAAGGTCATAGGTTAAAATTAGGATCACTATGTTTAACATAACGTCATACTTCAGGTTTGTACTTTAGGATTCTCCATTTGGTATCCATTTTTTTTGTTTCCACATGATACCACTATACTTTTAATTTATTTTCTAACATTCCATCAAATTTATTTTGTATTACTCGATTTGGATGCCATAAAATTGCTCAATTAAGGCTTTAAAGAGATGTTTAAGCCGTCAATGTTCAAATTTGAGTCGAAATTAGCAAAAAAAAACAAGGCTTAAAAATGCCTCAGTTTACGTGGAAGAATAATGTCTCAATTCACATATTTCGATTTATTTCGCGCTAAAAAAGTTCAGTTAAAGTTTTGGGAGGTCACTATGACTTTTATTTTTTTTACAAACACGTTAGGATGGACCTTTAAGGATCAAATTTTGAAGTTGAAATTAGAAAAAACATGACCTCAAAGTGCCCTGAATTAATGTTTTATTTAACGGGAGGTTATGGTAGAAAATTAGTCTGAATTACAATGGTACAATGTGAAATTAAAATAAATTGGATATCAAAATGAAAAGCCCAAAGTACAATGGTACCATATGGAAAATCTCATTCTATTTTTACATTCCTACTTTCGTTTCTATATTTTTTATTTATCTCTATACTTTTGTTTTATTCCATACACTAGATTATAGCATTAGTCTTTCTAGATCTGTTGCATTACATTATTTACAGTTAATAGTTGAAATAGTCGAAAGAAAACTATTTATGGATGCATATCAAAGAAATATGAAAAAAAAATATACAATATATTAGCCGGTTGTATAGTAGTCTCTAGAGGCATTTATTTGGTTTTTTAGTCATAATTTATAAAATAATTTTCAAAGCGATAAAAATAGAGTAGTTTAGCTTTAAAAAATAAATAAAAATAAAGATAATGTCATTAAAGCATTAAGGCTGGAATTTTTATATGAGAAAGCGATATGTGTACTAAAGCAAATTCTCACTTTTATCTCTCTTAATACATCATATGGACCACATGCTTCGAAATCTGAACTAAAATTAAATGGAGTGGCGCTAAACTAAATTGAAATTAATTCAAACAAAATTATTATTATTATTAGTATTAATAATAATAATAATAATAATAATACACCACGTTTTCTGTATGGTTGGTCACACCGTGTGGCCGGCTGACACACATCAAAACATTGACCGGGTAACTTCTGATCGATCGAGTATCCCTTGAGCCCTAACACACAGCATGGACGACCACATATGAAATTTTGTGTTATCAATAACTATATAATAACTATATACTAAAAGACACACCAGCAATGACACGTGTCATTTCCTGGTGTGTCCTTAGTAGTAGTAGTAGTTGTTTTTTTTTTTTTTTTTTATTTTATTTTTTTTAAATCTTATACTAAAATAATAGCTATTTTCATTGATATAATAATTACTTAAAATAAAAGATTTAATATACTCCGTATCTTTTAATATACAATAATGACAACTACAAATAAAAATATTTCGTATTCAGATTTTACTATTTTAGACATATTTTGTGACATGTTGTACTACTAGAAATATATTATAATTGATATGTTGTAACTAAACATTTATCTAATTATTGTTTAAAAAAATTTATCTAATTATGTGTAATTAATCAATCATGCTACCTCCATTCCTAAAAGTCCGACTCACTTACTATTCATGTGGTCAAAATAAAATAACTTTGACCACATTTTATGATTTATACAATCAAAATAAATTAACAAGTTTGATCTTATTAGATTCCTCTTATGATAAAATTTTTAAATATCAACTTTTAAAAAATTAACTTATACATAGCCAAAGTTAGTAATGGTTAAAGATACTCATTGAAGACTGTGAAAATGCAAAGTGAGTCGAACTTTCAGAAACAGAGGGAGTACTAAAAATGTCCTCTCTTAGTAAGTCCTTAAGTTTTTATTTTTTGAAAAAAAATTATATTTTTACCAAACATAGCATTGTAGGATCAATTTTTACCAAACGATTCGGATCGTCAGCAAAATCGCAATTAAGGTGGGATCGTAATAGGATCGGGTAGGATCATATAGGATTGGTTGGATCGTACAATCCCATCCATCCTACCCGATCCTACAAATCAACTAAATGGTGAGGAATTTCAGCCCAAGTATGGTAGGATCGTGTAGGATCGTACGATCCTACTTGATCCTATGTGATCCTACTAAATTTTTAGATTATTTAGTATTCTAAATTTTTTTTTGGGTTGTATTGTCTTAAACATGGTTAATTATTTCAAAATTATTGGTTTTAGCATCAATTTTACCCCGAATCACATATAATAAGTACTATTATTGTCTTTTATCACCCCTTTTACGAGTTTTTGTAGAATCTTATGATCCTACGATCCGATTTTACCAATCCGATCCTACCACCCCTTTCCGATCCAAAGTAGGATCCCGATCCTAATAACTATGTGACATATGGAGTATTTTTTTTATTTTTGGGAAAGACATATTATGTAAACTACATTTATTACAACAAGATCATATATTTTTTTTAATTATGTGATGGAAGCTACATATATATCAAATCAACAAATGATACTTTTGTTATTTCCCTGAATAATTTATTATTAGAATTTTAATCTATCAATAATCGATAATTAATATGGAACTTCCATAATACTTGCCAAGAACGACACATGTTGATCATTCTTAGTGTGATTTTTTCCTGCCATTTTTGTTGTTCTTCAGCATCAATAATAACTATATACTAAAAGCGAAATCAGGAATGACACATGTCATCTCCTGGTTAAAAAATTTCCCGCCCATTTTACTTTCTTCCAATTAAAATTCGATAAAATACAAGTTTATAACCTTGATAAACAAGAGTTGTTTATCAAGGGGTTTATATGTAAATTACATTTAACTTTGGTTAACTGTTATTTTCTCTCTCCTTTGTCAACCTTTTGATATTTCCTGATTTTCTCTCTCCTCCTTCAACCTTTTGTTGTTTTCTCTTTTCTCCTTCAACCTTCAATTTTAATGGTGGAAGTACACCTTTTCACTATATGACGTCGAACAAGTCGAAATTAATGCAGGGAGAAAAACTTATCTACCCTTCAAGGTTAACCATGCCCATAATTCTTACTTTGTTATTTGGGTTTTCGTTTAATTTCGGCGGCCACTAGTGAAAAAATTGCTATTTGTAACACCCTGTTTGTAACGGACAATAATATGTCAGTTACAATTAACCTATTCGTAACAGGCAAAACAATGGTCCGTTATATTAAAGCTGCATAATGAGTACAGAGAGTGACATTCGTAACGGGCAAAATGATGCCTGTTACAAAAATTGCATTATTCGTAACGTGCAGCATTTTGCCCGATACAAATACTGCACTCTTTGTAATGGGCAAAATTGGCCATTTGTGTTTATCTCTAATTATCTCTATTTTATATAAGTGAAGGGAGTTGAAAGTGTCCATCAAAAAATACATTTTTATTCCTATCCGTTATATTAAAGTTTTTTTCTTTAAACAAAGCATCATGTCAAAGCTTAGAGGAAGCAAAATGAGAAGAAAAAAAAAATGATAGAGAGTGGAATAAAGGATGCCAAATTAAAGAGTCAAACGGCCAGATTATAGATTGTTAAATTGAATAATAGACTTCAGGTGCTTTTTCACAATTTTTTTTAAAGGTGTTTTTAAAATAATTTTTTTTTTTAAATGAGAGTACTTTCTCACCAAATTGATGATTTTAAAGGTAATTTTTTACAAAAATTGCTAATTTTTTTTAAAACAATTCTAACAAAATGGTTTAAAGTGTTTTCTACAATCGAAGAAAGATATTAAAAAAATTTATACCGAAGAGCATTATATTTTTTTAGTTTTTTCCCATTTTTAAATGCTCAAATTAAATATCACCAACATTTAAATTATAACTAAACATATGTGTAGTTCATAATTTTGTTTCAAAACTTTTAACATATGTGTTTTTTAAACTCTTTTTTTGCGAAAGTCAAGTGTCATCAAAAGAAGAAGACTCTCTGTTAATGAACAAAGTATTTTAGAGTATGGTCAGCATGAGGTATAACAGATCGTTGTTTACTCGCTAAAAGACATGTCAAATGTCGTCACTATGACTTACAAGAATACAGATAAACTGAATATAAATGCAAGGGATATTTCGGTGATTTTAGGAATTTATTAAGTGAATTGGTTGACTTGGCTCACTAATAATCCTATTTTGTTCGAATTTCAATAAGTATGTGAAACAAAGAAAGTGGATGTTTGGTTATTATAATTTTTCATTTTTATATTTTATTTTATTTTTTCTGTTTTTTAACTTAAACATCATAATAAGTATGTTAGTTTAATTTTTATTTATTTATTTTTTTTTTTATTATTTTATCCCTAGGTTTAAAAAATTATTCTTGTACCTATTTTAAGAATCAAAAAGTATATACGCTTAAATCCAAATATATTATATCATGAATCCATAAATTATTAATTTGGTTAAAAAAACACTATCTTGGAAAAAAAAACTGGAAAAATAAGTCCCATTTTAGTTTCAGAGTTTGTTCTCATGTAGTCATGTATACTAGTTTACTACTTCGTACTACCTTAAAATCTTGTCA